CAACATTCTCATGTTTCGTAGTGATTGAGGATAACAAGGTGGTACGTGGGCAGAAGGATTTATACAGCCTGCGGGAAGACGAAGAAGAACATCCGGCTCCGTGCCCACCTCTTCGATTCCGCTGTCCTTCCTGCCCTAAACCTACGCCTCAGAGACTTGGACTCTGCGCAGGCAGGACGAGCATGCGGTCAGCGTTATCCAACGCGCTGTCGAGAGGACGATGCTAGGAGTAACCCTATACACGCAAGTGCAGAGGGGAATCCGAACTACGGAACTGATCGAAGATCAGGGACGCTGCCGTTTTCGCCAAGGAATCGAAGATAAGGTGGGCCGGACACGTCATGCGATTTTGCGATGACCGTTGGACCAGAGCGGTTACCGACTGGATCCCTCGGGACGTCAAACGAACACCTGGACGACCGCCGGCCCGATGGTCAGACTTCTTCACGAAAGCTCTGAACGAAAGGAATGAACCGTGTCCCTCGAGCGAGGAGGATCCACTGGACACTCTTGCACGCGACAGGGACGAATGGAGACGTTGCTGGCGCCCGCTCGAGCAAATCGATGATCAACGGGACGACAGGTGACAGGTGATACAGGTGGGGAGCCACGTCTGAGCACCCTAGTCCTCCATTGAACGGTAGCCAACAAATTATCAATAAGCTTGATATAAAGACATTTTGCCCATGTCGCCCCTCTGCCCTTTTTTCTTCGCAGAGATTGCCGTCCCTGACAACTGTCTCAAGCAAAATATTCCCTGAATATCCCTATCACTATGAAGACTTTCTTATGAAACGAAATGTGCTCTTCAATACTAAGTTGGGACCATTCGGTTTGAATTGAGCAAAGTGTGATTAAATCCATCTGAGTGTGGAGACAAAATGTCTTTTTTTATTGCCCCCCCTGTATGTGGAGTATACATACCTAGGGCAATAAATCTGACCTTGGTTGACTTCACTAGCAGCTCTTTGCAGGTCAAATTATACAGTATAAATATACTGTAATATCCAAATCTGTTTGGTCATTGCTCAGGTGGAACATTGTTTTGGATTAATTTAAGTCTCGATTCAGTTTTCAACGATTGTGGGCGAAGGATTTACTGAGGTTTCTTTCCCTCGGTATCGCGTGTCATATTACGCCGAAAGTAAACACCTAGGAACTCCTAACTCTATAACATATAACATGTTAACGCTCTATACCCATGTATTCCTACAAAGTAAAGGAAGGGTGCACGGAAAGTTGCTCTTTTTCATTCCCGACATAAAGGTGCAATTTGGGACCACTAGGGATTCCCTAAGTTTCGCACATGAAAACTAAGACTTTAAAAGGGAACAACTTTTTGAGGTGTGACTAGTTCGGATGGTTGGGCACGGTCGAAGCGGCGAATGGGAAGAGTTCGTTATGGGTACTGCTCTGCCTTTGGTTACGTTGAAAAAATTCAATGAAAGTGTTCGAATTAGGAGAATGAAGACAAACCAATCGATGGAACAAAATGTATCAGAAGAGGAATATTATTGCAATAGGTGACGAAGACCAAAAAACTCACAGTGAAGGCACTCCGAGAAACAAGGGATCGTTCCAGTCGCCAGCATTTGTGAAAGATCGCACGGCGTGATTTCAAGCGCGTAACAGCCCTCCGGGTTTTCCGAGCCTGTTTTCAAGCAATCACTACTTTCGCTTTCTTCTTCGAACTATCATGAAGTGGCCACAAGCTTCAGGGTTAGACTTGATTTCCCTAACGATACACGGGTGCGTAGAATAGAGCTGTACGTGGTCTGATCTAATGATCTCAGAATGAAGGTTTCTCTGGAATACGGAGCTTGTATAACGATTTTGTTTTCAGCTGCCTTAATAGCTGGATCTATTGCGAAGTACTTCGACTTTCCGATTATTCTGTGGGCGCCGACGTTTTCCTCGGAGTTACTGGACGGCAATGAGTACTCGACCATGATGGCTCCAACGTGGAGCTCAGTGAAGTCAGTCACGTCAAAAACTGAATTGAATATCACCTAGTGCGCTGCATAAAAAACAACTAAATTTTGGTCACGATTTGAGGCTCAGGTCAAAGGGAAACTCATTAATCATTGGATTTTTAGCCAAGCTCGAACCCTAACGCGCCTATTCGAGCGGTATGACTGGAGAGAGGTGGCTGTACTTTACTACGCGGCGAGGAGCGATGTCTCCCCGCGTTGCTCTTTGATTATAGCCGATCTGGAGGTATGAGCAAATTGCACCATTTATCCTTCTATTTTATAAAGCGCTAACTTTGTGTGTCGGTTTGTATGTCTGTATGTGTGTGTATGTGTGTATGTATGTATGTATGTATGTATGTATGTATGTATGTATGTATGTATGTATGTATGTATGTATGTATGTATGTATGTATGTATGTATGTATGTGTGTCCGTCCGCAAAATGAAGTGAGTGAGAAGGAAGCTCATGGGATAAACAAACCGCTAACAAATCGGGTAGCTTACAGGATTTGAGATATCAATGTTTTGTAGCAGGATAGTTGTGATAACACTCTTAGGGCTATATAAACACCTGCTTAGCACACTTCCGTTCATTCCACATGGTGCTGCAGTGGCAGCTGGAGGGCAGTGGAGAGAGGAAGGGAGGATGAGGAAGGGAAGCGAAAAATCTACCGTCATATCATGATTGTGTCCCTTCTACTGTATGAAACACCATTGTGTTGCATACGCGTCACTTCCAGGAGGTGTTGGTGTCACAGGAGGAAGGGACCATAGCGGAGGATAGAAAGCTTGCGCAGGAAAGGAAGGTCCCGGCGGTTGACGGGGGACTAATCTGGTAAATATTGCGATAGTGCTCGTTGTGGTAATGTGTGGACACGACCGTGTGATAAGTCAATGAAAACGAGCAGCAGCAAGCAAACTTTCCTCGATCGATTGTGATCATTTACCCATGGATCAATATGTGAATATTTCCTTTCGATTCAGAATCACCTGAACTGAATAAGAACATCAAACGATTTCACGTTCCCTTTAGATACAAGGTGCGCCAAAATTACTTACTCAAAGTTACAGCGGTTATTCCGCTAGCACTTGTAAGCGACAAACGAGCAATTGGTGAGCAGCCTTTTGCTTACCACGTCCTCTATCAGTGCTTCAAATCTCAGCATCAGTGCGCTACCAGTTAGCGTAACTGGTAGCGCACTTGCCCGGAAAGCGAGAGGTGCGGGTTCTAGTCCCGCCTGGGGCGAAAGTTTTGTTCACAACCCAGCATTCTTGTGAAACATTCGCAAGGCGAACTGCGGCGTTAAAACAGCAGTTAACAAACAAAACAAGTCAAAAGTTATGATCGTTTAAAGGTTAAAAAGTCGCATTTGCACAGAAAAAAGTAACAACGTACTAAATTTTTATTAAATTAACTTTCGAAGAATTTTTACCCATGGTTGGAGAGAGAATAATTTGAATTTTCCAAATCAAATCACTTCGGCGCAGAAGCTCGAATATGAAGGAAGTTATAGCCTTAGAAAGAGGGGTGTAAAAATTGTGTTGCAATTGAAGAACGTGAAGGATTTCAGTATTTCAATTGGAGCGATAATTTTTTCTGACTTCTCATAAGTTTTTATCAGGTAATATTGTCAATATTCCGGTCACTGGTTCAGTTTATTTCATCTCCTAGTTTGGTAACCCTTTGGAGTACACGGATATCTTTGAATGCATCTCATTTTTTCGTG